ATATTGATATATTTTAATTTATGTAAGGGTTAAATGCAAAATGCACCCTAGAATTATGCGCAGTTAGCAACTTGGCCCTTACACTATTAATTGTAGCAATTTACTACTTTATACTACGAATTTTTGGCACTTTGCTCTAATTAAATTATTGTAACAAGTAATGTTTTAATGGAAGGACAACAATAACCCTACAAATAATGTGTTACCTGAAATACCCATTTCTTTAATTTATTTTCTCTTACTTTTTGTCTTTTTTTGTTTCAACCATGAACAATCTTACACTGCTTGCCATTACCACTACACCAAAAATACGTATCATTGAACCACCACAAAAGAAGAAGAAAGTCAAGATTAGTTTATGTAAAACTAGAGCAAAATCAAGCCTTTGTATCAAGGCTAGAAACCCATCACTAACTTATGCAAAAAATTGAAGATACACCTTATAAATCCACACCAAATCTTCAAATAGTAAAACTCATAACACAATCTTATCATATATAGAACCAATCGCACACTAAGTCAAACTTCAATATGCAACAAATAGAAATAAAAACAACCAATAACGTAAACAATCAGAGAAATTAGAAGGATAGGAAATGACCGAAATTGGGTGTCTTGAATCAAAAAGTACCGAGAGATTAGCTAGTAGCAATGAGGGTTCGTAAACTTGAAGTGGATTGTGATTTTGGAACTTGAGAAATGATTTAAAGAGAATGCACTCAAGAAAGAGAGGTAATGATAAGTTTATGAGGTTAGGAGTAGGCATATCAATGGATCGTATCTTATCCAGATCCAATCCAAACCCAGCATACTTGGATAGGGTTTAGATTTAATTTCTCAAATCCAGATCCTATCCAAACCTAGACTCTGTAAAAGAGTTGTGGGTCTGGGTAGGGTTTAATTTTCTATGATCCATATTTATATCCAAATCCATATCAAACCCTACTCAGATCCATAAATATATATATATATATATAATTAAATATATATTAGTAAATTTATGAAATATTCTAATATTCTATGATCGTTGGATCAAATACAGTAAGATTTCATGATTGTTTTCTTTTTTCAATCTAATCCTAATTGTTATTGTAATTAGTACAAACTTTTGCAAAAAAAAAAAAAGGAGAAAAAGTAAAGGAAAATAAATGAAAGATTGGAGAAAATATAGTTGAAGTTTTAAAAATAAATCAAAGCAATCAATAATAGTTATTTTTTGAGTTCATGATGTTGCATTCAATTTCTTGAATATTAATTTTGTTATTTGAAAATAAAAACTGGATGGTGTTTTTTTGAAATCTATATATTTTCACTTTAGTGTATTTACAAAAATGCAGTGGGTACCCAGATCTAGGAGAATCTGGGTTTAGACTTATTTTTCAGACTTACAAGGGTTTGGGTCTGGGTATGGGTTCAACTAAATTTTAATGGGTCTAGATCTGAATCAAATGGATCCAATCCAAACCCTACCCATTGACATGCCTAGTTAGGAGCTTGAAAAGGTTGATTTGAATGGAAAAAATGAAGAGCGATCCATATTTGGGAGTTTGATATGGGGGATGAGATGGATAATAACTTGGTAGTGTGGTTTGGAGAAAGAGGAGGACGATTACTTGTGAGTTTAAAGGAGAAAGGAGGAGGAGAGATGTGGACAATTTGTTAATTGTCATTTAATTAGGACAGATTTGTCATATCACCTTATCTTAAGCAATCTGCAATGAAATCGATAATAGAAGATGTCACTATAATTGATAGTTTAGGGGGCAAGTCACTAACCAGACATAGTTCAGGGGTGCATTTTGCATTTAACCCTTTACATAATCAAACTAAGCATTTCATGTGTTTCTTATCCTATAAATAGACATGTAATGCTTTCTAACTTTTCTATTATAACATTTAATCTTTTAGTGTTTTATTTATTAGGACTACACATAGGAAAGTGTCATGGATTATGTTACACTCTCAAATCAAATAGTTTTACTTTACAAAATCAAGTGCTGAAGATGGTCACGGAATTCATTTCTTATGTGTTATCATTCCAAAAAGATCAACCAATGAACAACCTAAAGATACATTCTCAACTTTTCCCTTTTATCGCATTTTTGGTAAATTACGATCTTATTTTTGTGTTCTGCTGTGACAAACAGTACCACAAAACTGAGATACTTCTTTTTTTCTTCTTACTAATATAACTCCTAAAGTTCTCTAAATTACTAACTCAAATCTAAATCAATTAATTATTTTTGCTCTAACTAAAATCCTCCGTCCTTTATAGTTTATACATAGCAATGGGTAGCACTTAAACTATGACCATAGACCTGGACTATATCTTATGTAATAAATTGGCATACATTTATGCCAAGATTTATGCCTAAGAAGTTTAAGAGAAGGACTCAAAACCAATTATGTCACTTTCAAGTTTGAATCACTTTCTTTATAACATTTACTTCATTTTCCGTATTTATGCTAGTCAATTACTTCTCCTTTTACTCTACTATCCCTAGTTAAGATAGAGAAGATAGCCCTATATCCTCTATTAGCAAGTATAAAAGCAGTTATACAACTTATCATTCTTGTGATTGTTATGTATCTTCTTTTCATAAGTAAATCTTTTGGTGTATTTTTGTGTGTGCGCGTATAGATGCATATATGTATGTATACCATGTGCTAACAGTAGTATATTTTTTTCGTGAAATGTACAATGTAATATTCTTATAATGAAGGTGCATTATAAGGTGAATAAATTCCACTGAGCTACAAGATGTGCAACATGATTTGGTTTTGGGAATTTTTGAAATTATTTTTGAATGATTATGCGTAGATAAACTCCAAAGACAGCAAAATTTTATGGAGTTTACAATAAATCCCATAGATCAAAATTTTGACCTTAGAATTTTTGTCAAAACTATTTGAATGGTGATGAAATGGGTCATGAACCCGGAAGGTAAAATTGGGAGGTGGAAGGAAGGCAATTGACAAGATGAAGAACTGTGTTTGGGATTTCTTGGGTCCTTTTATTAGATTTTAGCATCAAGTTTGAGTTTGAACTCATTGAATAGCTAATTTGTAAATGTTGACATGCATAGATATTCAATGAATTACTCGTGATTTACCATGATTCAGAATCTATTGGAGTTTCATGGTAAACCTTTATTATTTTTCAAACCTATTAAATCCAGTAATTTTTCAACTTTGTTATTTTTGTGAGTGCATTTGATGTATTTTCTATCAATATACATTTCATAAATAAATTTGTATTTTTTGTCAAAAAATGAAAAATAACAAAGAATCGCTCTGTGCCACACTAGAAGTAGCAACAAAGTGCTACTTAATGGGGTGGTTATATGCCTCACCCACCTCAATTTTGTCAAAAAGTAATAACACTTACCAATAACATTTTCATTAAAACCTTTTAAATACTTGAAAATTTTGAAACCAGAGCAAGAAATTCTAGATTCAAAACATGTTGCGAGCTTAAGTTAATTGCATATTAGCAGTCAAAATGTGACTTGAAAGGCTAAACCAGCTAGGTGTAATTTTGATAAAGTTTTAACTTGTATGATCCACCATTTTGTTGTATATCATAATTTTCTCATGGATTCCTGTAGTCTATGCTATTCTGTGATAGAAGAATGAAAGATAGCACCATTTATGTTTTGCCTGGAGGAATTTAAGGTTATATGAAAAGGGATAAGAATAATGTCAAATTTTCATCATGGGCTCATCCCCTCATTTCTGGTAAATGACAAATCATCCCCTTATGATTTTGCTTACAACCACATGACTGCCCTATCCTTTTTTTTTTTTTTTTTCGAAAACGACAACTGTTGTATAACCTAATCTATTCTACACTAAGGGGGAGGGGGCGGACCTAAGGGGACCCAGGGATAACTCGGAAGGGACTGAACCATCACCGAACCAAATTGATGCACAACACACCCGCCTGAATTTTTTGAAGCAAACCACTTAAATGTGGCATTTTGGTGGGAGGCAAGGTTTGAATCGTTGCCTCCCACCCCACCAAGTTAGGTGGTAGCCACCAGCCCAAAGGCTGGTGGTTCACATGACTGCCCTATCATTTTAATATAATTACATAATTCTCCTGTGGCTTTATAGAATATGAAAAATGGACAAAATTAAATATGACCAACAGTGTCAATTGAAGTGCCAGTTATACCGTTACTTAAATATTTAACATTTTTCTTTCTATTTGATTTTGTCACTAACATTTGCTGTATATTGCATTGTTCAAGGTCAAATTAAGAGGAGCAAAACTTTATTGGGTCGAAATGTAAAATTGAAAGAATAGCTTTTTTTCCTCCACCGCTTCTTCAATCTCTAACTGCTTCACAATTGGAAAGTCAACACCATCGCAATCGGGAAAGTCAATAACCACTACCGGACCACCGTCAATTCCCAAAAACCCCAAAAAACCTCTAAATTCATCCAATTACGAGAAATTAGAGGAACATTTATTCACTTCATGAAGGAATAGACCTAGCCCCAAAATTTTCATCTTTCCATTAGTATTCACTTTAAAATAGAGATCATTGGGTGACTTGTTCATATATCGCAAAAAAGGCTGTGGTGGAAGGTAAGAATATTCCTTTTTGTTCGCTTTTTAAAAAAAAAATAAATTAGTAGGCATTTTTCGAGCATTAGAGTGGCGGGAAAGACAATTTCTGTGAACTAATTATGTCATCATTTCAAAATGACACAGAGTTATATGGTAAAATATCATATGATCGCGGAGTTTGTGGTAATTTACTGTCTCATTTTTTGTGTTTTCATCGAATGTCCAAAATAGTAGTAAAAGCCATTTACAAGCATCATACCTTCTCTTTCCAATTTTCAAAGGCATTGTCGTGTTTAATCTTTCGCATCAAGAAAATTTTGTCAGAATACAATCTTCTTTAAACTCAGAGATTGAATAATTAGTTAAATATGTACTGAAAAATAAGGATATAACTATAGCAAACACCTTTGGAGCTCTAAGAAGACTATATTTAAATTCACATCAAATGTAAATTACAACATCTGATGCCTACTTTGTTTACATAGCAGTTGCTGCTGCCTTCACTAGTGGTTTGCACGAGCTTTCACATGTAGCAAACTGATCTCCTTCTGGCAATTCTTCAACTAATCTTGATAGCTTTTCAACAATTTCTCCTGCATTCGGCCTTAAAGATGCATCATCTTCGACACAGGCTCTTGCAAGGTTGGCTAAAGTTACTGCTGCATCAAATGAATAATTCTCTCCCAGTGCATTGTCTATCCACTCCCTCAGTTCTTCGGCGTTATCGGACTGCAAGATGAACTTGATTTTCTGAGACAAGCAAATGTAATCATCACCTTTGAGGTCAGTCCTTATCATTGGTGTTTGTCCTGACAAAATCTCAAGCAAAATGACGCCAAAAGCAAAAATGTCTATGCTTGGGGCAATTACACCCTGTTGAAGATACTCAGGCGCCAAATAGCCTGTACTCCAGGAGGCAGGTGGGCTTGGATTAGATTGCTGGTCTTCTACCCTGTCTTCAACACATCTAGCCATAGCAAAATTTCCAACTTTTGCATTGAAATCTTCATCTAAGAATACGTTTCGACTCTTTATGTTTCTGTGGACATAAGCAGGATGCATAATGTGGTGCATGAACTGTATGGCTATGGCTACATCTAGGCAGATCTTCAGCCTTTGATTCCAAGTCAAGAAGCAATAGCAGGACTCAATGAATTGGCTCTTCATGGCCAATCCACCGTGAAGCCAGTCCTTCAATGATCCATTCCTTGCATATTCAAAAACCAAGAAGGAATCAGACTCAGAGCCCTCTGTCATACTGCAGGAGGTCCCTAAAAGCCTGATTATATTGGGATGATGGTGAATGGCATCATAAAAAAGCCCAAGCTCAATCTTTGAGATGGTTTCCATCGACGTACGCTTTATCGCCAAGTTCTTTCCATTTAGACGACCATGGAATACAGAATCCTCAATGAGATTAGCTGAACTGAAATCCTCTGTCGCCTTTCTCAGTTCTTCAGTACTATATGTCTCAACCAGTACTGTTTTATGTGGGGTGGTGTCGATCGTGTGACCGTTAAGAGAATCGTCATTGGATCCCTCGAATGAAACTTTCTTCTCGCTGGTAGTTCTTACGCTCAAACTAAGCTGTTGCAGCTCAACATCTGCATTCTTACATTGGCCATGCTTCCTCCTCTTCCACTGAAAGAGTAGGAAAGCTGCTGCAGTAGCAACACTTAACCCAAATGCAATTGCAGCAATAGCAATGTAAACGCCAACTATCCACATCTTGGCAAGGAGCCCAATTACTATAAGATAGGCTAAGCTTCAGCTGGAATTAAAAGAGTCGAGAATCGCACAAAAAACTCGTCTGTTCCCAAACCTGCTAAAGATCTGTTAACTTACTAACATTATAATTTCAAAAGTAATACTAAAGCTGAAGGTTCAGGTAGCCGCTTATCAGCTTCACTTACAGGACAAGATAGAGAAAGCTTTACTCCGTTGGCAAACTCGCAAGAAGATGGATCAAGATTACACGGTGACAAAGTCAGGCTTTGGAAGTTGTTAACCCCTCCAACGGCTAAAGAGTACTGAAAACTCTATATGAATTTTGAGGGTGATTTTCCTCAAATCTGTTTCAAATAACCCACGAACACTGCTCCATTGAGTCTAAAATCAACCGGGATCAGCGGAGGCTGATTATGGGGAAGGGATTCAGTGCTAGCAGCAGAAAAGCCAGATGCTTCTAAGAGCAACGAAAGATTGATGCCCAAGTAGGTTGAAAACTGATCAGGAACAGTAAGAATTGGTTTGAAGAACAGCAGATGTACTGCAACAATCTTGTTATCTGTTATTTAATATTTATTCCCATCACAAGGATAACCTGAAGATGCGATGCCTGAGAGGTTACCTGGCAGCTCAGCAAGTCCCGTTTCAGTGCAGCAAGAACGAAAACAAGTACAAAGACAAAAGCAAATCGAAGGTCCTCAGTCTTATTTGGAGCGTAATGTTAAAGCATAAGGACAATTCTATGGCGGAGAATCAGGTCAACTCCTTATATAGGGAGATAAAACGTGAAGCTGACAACAAACAATCACTGAAATTAAGGTGTCTTTTGTAGCTGACCCTATGAATTAGTCTATAAATTGGCAACCGGCTATGTCAGTCTGAAATGGGTTGGTTGGACGGACTGCGGTGCTGTCAAATCTTGGTAGTTTTGTGGTCCACAATATTCCGCATCGCTAACTCCGCATAACTACGCGCCAGTGGAGTGAAATGGTAGGACTGAGGAGCATAAATAAATCCAAGACTTCAGAAAATTTTTCATAGTTCCTCGAAATATTAAAAATTAGTGCTTATGTCCTCGGAAAATAAACCTTGCCAGCAGGATTTTCAGAATTGTTTTATGTCCTCTTGAAATGTTCCTTGTGAATATTAGACTTTACTTGTGAAAGCCTTTATAAAAATGTAAGGATGTCTCTTCATGACTTTTTTACTAGTTTTACCCTCTCAAGCATATATAAATCTTTTCTATTGTCAACTATAAATACAGATACAAAAATTTAAGTATTCATTGTTAAAATTTCTAAACATAAAGTAAATAGTTCAGTATGATATTTAATGTTTGATTATTTATATCATTTTTGAAAAAGTATGATAACTAAATATCGCAAGTACAAAAAATGTTTTGAATTATCTATTTAATTACGGAACACTTGTTATAAAATTAATAAACAAGTGATGAAAATTATGATAATAGAATTGTAACTAATATTTATGGAAATTTATACTAATGCTTAATTGTTACTTGTTGCCAAAAATGATGCATCAACATGTAGAAAAAACTTGAAGTTGAACTCTAGTTTGTTTTGTTCTTGAAAGTTGAGTTTGAATTTAAATCGAATTTATTTTACCTTGTTTGAGTTCAATCAGATCCAACACAATCAAAGCTCGATTAATTGAGCTTAGTCAACCCAATCAAGTCTCATTAAGCTCAATTCAGTTCAATTGAGTTTAATCGAGCGCAATCAAGTTTAAGTAATATAAACTAATATTTTATACAATTTTAAACAAAGGACACGATAGATATTTTATACTAATAAATATAAAAATTTTGATATATATATATATATATATATTGAAGCTCAATTGAGCTCATTTATACTCGACGAATTTTCGAGACTTGCATATTAGGTTCAAACTTGAGCTCTTCAAGTTGTTCGATCTATTTGAACTCGATCATTAAGAACTCAAACTTGCAAGTAACTCTATTGAGTTACGCTTATTTACACCCTTAATTACACCTAAAATGCCCATCATATTTTTTTAAATGTTATGTTGCCAAGTGCAAAACTACTATAACCTAAATTTTAAAATTTTTTATAATAGTTGAAAGATTAATATCATGGGTACTTAAAGAAACGATTCTAGTAAAAGTACATAGCGTGAAGTTTCATTTGGTTTGCCTCACATTACATGTTGTAGAAATACATTTATATTTGGTATGAAAATGAATATTAATCAATGATACAAGAACGGGCCTATTAGAATAAAATTTTAAATTTGGATATAAGTAGGCATGTTAATTAGTAAATCTTATCTAGATCCAATTCAGACCCAATATACTTGGGTAAAGTTTAGATTTAATTTCTCAAATCCAACCTTTACCCAGACCCAAACCCCTATTAGAGAGTCATGGGTCTAGTAGAATCTAATTTTTTACTATCTATACCCAAATTCATATCCAAACTAGACTCTACTCAGATTTATGTATAAATTACATACATATATATATAGATATACACACAAACATATACATACATGTATATAAAATCTAATATTCTATAGTCATTGGATCAAATACATTAAGATTTTATGACTGCTAAATTAAAAGATATGCTTTTAATATTAAAAAAATCGCCTAATCCCGCCCATCTATTGTGTGACTCAATGGACGTAGATGAAGTTTTGAAAATAAAAAAAAGTAGTTGATACTAGTTCTTTCTTTGAGTTCATAATATTGCATTCAACTTATTGAATGTTAATTTTATTATTTGAAAATAAAAATTATATAGTATTTATGTTATTTTTAAACTCTATATATTTGTAAAATATTTTTACTTTAGTTCTTTATTGTATGTTCAAAAAAGTATCCAAGAATGGCCAAACCCATGAGGATACGTGTCTAGATTTACTTTTTCAGGCTCACAAGGGTTTCTGTATCTAATTAAATATAATGGGCCTAAATTTGGATTAAAGGAATCTAATCAAATCTTACCCGTTAACATGCATTAATATAAGTAACCTCAATACAAGTATGTTATTCGCTAACTTTTCCCTCTTATTAAATATGTTCCGAAATGATATGAGGATCATATATATATATATATTCAGAAAGCGAGGTATTTAGTGCAAATAATTGAACAAATCATTAGGTTTCAATGCAAATCAACTTATAAATTAGTAAATTTTAATATAACCAATATAAATAAATTTTAGTTATATGAAATAATTAAATTTATCCAAGTAAATTGGAAACACTTTTGTGTAATTGTCTACAATTCCCTTGTAATTTTGTCTTCATATTTATTTTAAAATCCTGTCATAGGAGCATATTATTCTTTATTTTGAAAACATTTATGCATGCCAGAGAGATAAACACCTATTAGGCGCGTTGTCTGTCAAGGCAAGTGCATTTTCTTTTGACCGTGTGCACCGGTTATTACCTCCACGTTCAACAACTCTTTGTCTAGTTGTCATGTTAACCCTCTCTCTACCATAAATATGCTGATGTCAGCATCAACACGTGTCCTTCTCAAGTTTATTCGCCATATATGTGGAGTTGACTCAATTCTCCATAGAAGTTTGATCCTAAAGCATAAATGTAATGGATTATATCTGTGCAGAGGGAGCAGCTGAGCAGGACCACGAAGTCTCACGTGGACTAGTTGGGAAAGTACAAATGACTTTGACAACATCCAGTAAAAGGGTTGAAATTTGGGATCTATACAAACTGTTTCCCGGAAAAGTGCAGATTCATGGACAGAATCCTTGGGAGTTGGGATTTGCACGTATTGTATATTGGCAATCGGCCGACGCTAGCAATTCGGGCAATCTTCAGTCTTGGACTTAGCGCACAGATTACTATCCGATTTGCCAACAAGGCTTCACCCTTAAAATATGTGGTTCGAAAATCACATATTATGTCTATATAAGTTGGTTTAATTGATAAAAATGAAAATAAAAAATATGTGTGTTTAATTTGTTGTTGATGTAAAAATTATATTGATGGATAATTTAGAAGCATTCTTATAAGCAACCTATCATTTCAGAATTATACTACTCCCTCCGTCCCGTTTTCTTAGTCTTGGTCTTTTTTCACACAGATTAAGAAAGTGTAATTAATTTGGTTGGAAACATAAATTTAGATTAATAATTTCCTAAAATACCCTTATGCTAATCAATGTAGTCAATGTATTCAATGTATTGGAAAAACTCAATGTATTCAATGTAGTGGGTTAGCATTTAATAACAATGTATTAATAACAAAATATTTAATAAGGGTATTTTAGATAATTTGAAAGATTACTACATTTCTTAATGGGAAAGTGGACTACAATTTGGGACGGACGAAAAAGGAAAACAAGACTAACAAAGTGGGACGGATGGAGTATAATATATGGTGGTGATAAAAAACAAAACTATTCAAATGTTATATTTACTAACTTATAGACCTCATTTGGGGTTGCAATGATTTATAAAGAAACACTTATGATATAAGTGTTTTTAATAAAAGTGTTCTTAAATTACTAAAAATTGCGCTCTTTAAATTATGAAAAATTAATTTTTCAAGACTCTAGAAGTAGTTTTAATATTTAAAAGTTTTTTTTTTTAGTAAAAGTAGCGCAACTCCAAATGGACCATACATGGTCTATATAGATTAAGCATCTCTACTATAATTTTGTATAAGCACTGGCCTATAAGTAACAACGCATCCTTTTTTTCGAAAATGATAACAATTGTATAATCTATTCGATCTTAAACTACAGGGGAGGAGGAGTCTAAAAAAATTTATATTGGAGGTTAACAGGTATACAAAGCTTACTAAATCAAAGGGATGATTTGACACTACTCTTGAATTTTTTCACACTACTCTTGAGATTTGAACTCTCACATACAACCAAGGAAAACTTAAATCCCTACTTGGTGGCCTCTGAACCGAACTCTGTGGTTCAAAGAGGTATCCAAGAGGCATTATTGGCAGCCTTGCTCTCCCCTCAGTCTTCAGTCCTTTCTAGTGACGCTGCAACACTGGCTAGGGCCTAGGTGTTAGTGGGCTTTCATCACACATTCCAATTCCCCACTATTCACTAATTCATTATTAATCCTCCTCGAGAGTATCGTTTTGGTGGGCAAACCTTCACTTAAGAATTAGCATGTCACGTTTGGTCCGACTGGTGGACATATTCAACATGCTGAAATGGATTGGAAAATTATAACAATGTGATAATCCTCCACATATATAAATTGGGGACTTACTCCTGTCAAACATATGTGGTCAAAGAGGGAGACTCAAAGCCCTAACTCCTACTTTTAAGAAAGTGTGGAAACTATGTACTTGAAGCATTACAATTTTCAAACAAATATTTTTTCTTGATAATCCTCCACATTGATGGTAATGTGAAGGTACATGAAACTTTGGAGCCTTACCGAGTCTAAATCAATTTACTGGTATTCGAGTAATCCTTCGTGTCTTGAATTTTTTTTTTTAAATCACTAAAATAAATTGATTGTCTACACAATATCATCGGCTAAAATACCCAAAAAATACTAC